CATCCGATCATTTAAATCAAAAAATTCCATCAAAAATTCCTTTGAATATGAAAAATAACATTTCTTATTGGGAAACTCTGTAAACATACATACAGTGACTCAATAAAGAACTCGGACATGCATTCCACTGTTATAAACAAGCAGCTTCAAGCTAGATTTTTTTTAATCAATTGATATTAACCATTTTTGTTTTTTATATTTCTATAGGGTATCCAATAAGAATTTAAGAAATACCAATAAAAAACAAATTAAATAGTTTACAGGCCTCCTATACCCTTGCTTCTGGTAATATTACAGGTCCATGGCATTTTAAAAAGGGTAATGCCACAATTATCAGGTGTACAACTTTGCTTCCGCCGTTTTCCGATAGGTGGCTGTACCGGCTGAAGCTGGTTGAAATACATAGATGATAATGCTTTCAAAGTGAGTGTGGACAGTGCCTAACGAATTGTCATCGCCGTTTCAGTGACAGTTGTTCTTGTTTTCGTATTATTCACGCTCGAAAATGTCCGTTTATGTGCCTAATTCTTGCCATTTGCGGGAAGTTTTACTTTTCTGTTATAATTCGAAAAAAATGCAGCTGAAGCGCATCGAATGCTCACAGAAACTTTCGGTGATACTGCTCTGAGTGAAAGAACCTGTCGGGAGTGGTTTCAACGTTTTAAAAATTGTGATTTCGATGTCGAGGACAAATATGGTGGTGGAAGAGAAAAAACCTTCAAAAACTTTTTAAAACCGGGTGAAACCATCACAGGAGATCGCTACCGAACGCAACAGATGCGCCTTAGTCGCGCGCTAAAAGAAAAGGGGCCACAATATCAAGAGCGACGTGACAAAGTCATCCTCCAACACGACAATGCTCGGCCTCACGTCGCAAAAGTGGTCAAAAAGTACCTGGAAACGCTGAAATGGGAAGTCTTGCCCCACACGCTATATTCCCCAGATGTCGCCCCTTCTGACTTCCACCTATTCCCTTCGATGACACACGGCCTGGCAGATCAACATTTTCAATCCTTCGAAGTATTAAAAGAATGGATTACTTCATGGATAGCGTCAAAATAGGTCTCCTTTTTTCGAGCCGGAATCCGAAAATTGCCGAAAAGATGGGAGAAAGTTGTCGCTAGCGAAAGGCAATACTTTGAATAATATATCTGTAAGCACTTTTTCGCAAAAAAGCTTTTAATTTTGGAAAAAAAAAAAAACGGCGGAAGCAAAGTTGTACACTTAATATTTTTATTTTTTTCCTTGAAGTCATATAACTTGGTGTCCGATTTCATTTTTGAGCCACTGTATATAAAATGTATATGCACATTTATAAATTTTACCTTGAAACCAAAAAATTCTTACCAAGTGATTCCCATTGAGAATTTCTAGATCGTACTTACCTTACCGTTAGACTACAAGAACATTTGTGCAAATGTATTTGATTTTAAGAAAATTGTTTTTTGTTTTTTACTTTTTTTTTTACATAGAATACAATAACTACAATAATAGCCTATAAATAATTAAAAATGTGAAAAGTCAAGCTTAAGAATATTCATTACCACATAACAGCTGCGTCAGCTTTTGAATTATTACCAGCGAAAAACAGGTATACAAAGTTATAAAAATATATATGTACGCTTTTTGTTTGCCCCCTACAACACTACCAGCAGTCTGCTGAAGAAACCTCAGAAAAATTACTATACTTTTGCGTAGGTTTCAACCTAAATAAGATTTAAGCGTGATACCTCAACATTACCGCGCTGGCCTATCCCACTCGACATCGCCATCCTGCCGACCGCCGAGCGTTGCGCCGCACCCATGTCAAATGCAAAAGGCAATCCCCAAACGTAAACTGTATTTCGTGAGCTTCACTCTCCACTCATTCAGTAACCGATAATAATCCGCTTCTTTTATCCGATTAAAAAAGTATTTTGTGGTGCAACTAATCCAGCGTGCAGTGACGTAACGTACGGGTGGCGGCTTATGTAGGTTCTCTGATTGCATTAATTCACCTTATGTCTTCACCAACCTACCTACATATTTCTTGCTATCCACGAATTCATCTCAATGCTGATCTTCACTGTAAGTCGATACTTTGCTATGGTATTAAAAAAATTCCACTCGAGTAATGGAAAATGAAGGATAAAACGTCCTCTTACATAAGCTTCAAGACATGATTATTAATTAAAATTATTTTACGTACTTTTAGTTTGGAATTAAGGTGAGATGGTATCGACATTGAGGCGAGTAATTGTGTTTAGTAAATTTATGTTTTAAAAGTTTAAAAACTAAAGCAAATGACCTCAATGGCATTTACACGAAAAAAAAATGTTTAGTTGGCTTTGGGTTCAAACGCGGAGCCGGCGAACTGCGTATCGGCCAAGTTCCATGCCTTTAGATCAAGGCCAGAGGGATAATAAAACAAAGATAACAAAGACATTCATTGACCTGTCGACCTAAACGGCGTTAGGTCGGTTTTAGTTGTACCAAAACCCGGTTCAAACTCGCTATTGGCGTCTGGCAGTTCGAAAATGAAGTGCTATCTTGACGACTTCTTCAACCTGCTAAATTCTCGGCTTCCCTCTTCACCAGCGGGACGAAGAAGTACCAGCTCGAACTCGACGGCGTTAAAATTCCGACTACAAATAACCCAAAGTAGCTGGGATTCGCGTCCGTAAGCCTGCACGCCTTCACTCCGCATACGACTGCAATTGCCACAAAACTACAGGACCGCAACAAACTCCTCCAGGCATTAGCCGGCAGCACAATGAGAAAAGACAAAGAAAAAAAAATTGCCGGCAACATGCAAGACAATGCTAGCCAATCGTAACTCGGTAAAAGGAAAACCCTTCATGACCCCGTACACTTGTACAGCCAAACATCTATGCTACGAGTTAAGGAGCATAATGTTTTTTGCTGCGCATGCAATATCTAATGAGATGCTATCCCAAACTACACTTAGTAGAAGTCGAACTACCATCTCGGTACATCGGGAAGAGAGTACTCGATTTTAAGGGTTGCATGCAGTATCACGTGTAACAACCGGTTCACCGGACGGTTTCCACGAGCGTCCGTTAACACATTCCTGAACTATCTTCTCGTGAATGGCGTTCTTTGAGTCTAATCATAACCAACTGACACAATGCTGACACAATAGATACGTAGATACTGTAGTCGGCTAAATTCTTATCTATCCAGAAATTTGCCCCTGGCTTACCCTACGTAGCTACTGAATGCAATGAGGCACCGCGCAACACGGCTCATCTAACTCCATTTTCCGTTTTAACATTTCCTTTTCCTGGAGCTCCCTATAGGTGACTTCAATGATTTAAACAGATCTTTCCTACTCATAAACGAATCTAGATTTGCCACTACAACAACCGGTCTTCTTTTTGTTTCTTCTTGCAATCTGTGAGAAATGAGTATGCGTAAGTTTGGGTATGGATATAATTTTCCTAACGTAAAAGATTTTTTTTTTTAAATTTTTGTGGAGTTACTCCACCGCTTACGCGATTATAACCGAGTAAACAACAGCGCACGTTCTTTTCTTCCCGTATATAAACCGTGTAAAATGGATAAACCAAGAGGCATGTCAAGCTATTCTCCACCTGATCTTTCCGAAAGAGTGGTTTCATCAGTGGGTACAATTCATCGTTTCGTCGTCTACGGTATGGAAAGCTAGATTGCTTTCATTTATTCGGAACACAAGACCTAGCCAACGTAGCCGCTTCGTACTTCATTCCATCAACAAAAGCACTCGCAGTTTCCAATACGCAAAGATCTATTCTCTCGAAAACTACAAAGAACGACTATTGAGATGTGTTCACCGTTAACTTAAAAATTACGTTCCAATGATCTGAGTGCCCAGTTAAGGAGCATTTGTTTAGTTTTATTTTTTATATAAAGCAGAATTTTTACAAAATTTCTCTCAGAAAAATATCTCGTAGTATAACTCTTAACTAAGGTCAAAATTTATTTTAATTTTCGACGTTGAGCAACAACAACGAATGTCAATAAATGAAACTACCTTCATGAACAATACATTTGATACGAATGTAGATAAATAGTATGTGTAAATAAATAATTGTCAAAGTGTACACGCAGATGGCTCATATACCGGTGCGGCCTAAGGTGACCAACCAACTAAAGTTTGTTAAGCTCCGAGCATGTCCGAATCGGAGTATTTGTCTTTACACAAGCGCACAAAAAAGCACGAGTTCTTAAAGAGTGTAGCACGAATATTGATCGGCTTTGTTTGGTTGTTCATTGAGGGGCTGTTTTTCGCTTTGTTGATAGTTCGGCAATCCGTTTAGATTGTTATCTCCTCTTTTATGATGCTCACCATCATGATCATTTCGTATAGCGTGACAATGTGACGTTCGTGTGCTACTACCCTTCATTATGTACAAAGCGCTTCAGTCGCTACACTTATCGTTTACTCTCTTTAAGGAAATTTACATTATTTTCTATTCTCTAACTATAACGTATTTATTTGAATACTTATGCATGTGTATATGTATGTATGTTTGTTATTCACACTACATTTTGATTCTGCGATGATCTTATTCAAGACTTTATTTCAAACTTCAAGTTTATGGTTTCTAATCAAGGTTTTTGGGAAATAACTTAAATATATACACATACGGAAAATCGCGAAACAGATCATTATAAATGATTCTCGAGTTAATCTCATGTTGCTATAACTTCGTTAAAAATCTATTAGGAGGCACATTTTCACATATGTAAATGAATTTGAGACGACCAAACGCTTTTCGGTTTTATATACTAGGACATTTGAGGCGATATTTTAGTTCAACTTAAGCTACATGCATTTTTCCTGACGTTCAAAATTTAAATTACGAAATACCTAATTCGATCAAAATTGCTAACAATTATCTTTTCCGGCTCTAAGCGGAAATAAAACCGGATGTGCAGTTATTGAAGCGCTACGTAAGTAGTGCCCGATTAGAAACACGCACACAAGCATTTACACTGCTGGGCATTGAATTACTTACCCGCTTCTCAGCGCTATCGCAGGGATTTCCAAATGACGAGGCTGAAAACGAGGACGTAGTCGCCGTAGCTGCATTTCCGACACCTGCAAGTTGTTCCGCTACGGCATTCTCGGGAATAGCCGTATCTATTTGCTCTTGCTTTATAAGCGGCATGAGCGGAACGAAGTCCGTTTTGGCGATACCTTCAAGCTCCTCAAACTCCATAGCCGAATTAAAAGTGCACTGCGTTTGCAGTTTGTCAAACGAAACGACACTAGTTTAACTTCCCGTGAGCATACAATATTACAAGCAATACCGTTTAATTTTGAAGCTTTGCAGCTCTTACTATTTTTTTTAATTAAATGTGTTTGCTAACATTTTCGTTTTTGCTTTCAGTTAATAAAAATATTTGCGGTATCGTCGATTAGTACACAATTTTTGCAGAGGTTTTCAATGCACGTTCTCTTGTCTGCTTTCACTTTTTCTATTTGCTTGTCACAGCGAACCGTATATTTATCCAATACACTTTGTTCTTTTCTTTCCTTCACACAATTAAAAACGATATTTTCGTAGAGAAAATTTTCTGACCAAAAAAAAAAATAGTCTCTAATTAAGGATAATCCTTTTAACTCATATTTCCGAACTTATTACAATATGTTTAGTGTACAGAAATTCATAATTAATGGCCTTTATCCAATAAAAAATTGTGAAAATCTTGAAAACACACACGGTATATCGAACTTTTCTCGGACGCTTCTTCACTGTACAGAAATTTTAGTTTTTTTGTTGGTGACGGCCATTTTGAATTCAATCAACCAGAGTTGTATGCGAAGTTATGAAAATTCAAAATCACATTTGTGACCATTTACCGAAGTTTTATCGCAATATTATGTTTCAAAAAATTTAATACGAATAAAATTTATAATAAATAAATGAATAATTATTTTCTTAATATAATATAAATGTGTTTCTCGACGAATTTGTTAAATAATAAAAAGGTTCCATTCCTTGCAACTCTGTGCTCTGTGTTTTGTTTTATTCCTTCCTTCTTTGCCTAACGAATTGAATTTATTACTGGTTCTCACGTAACATAAATCTAAACGTCTCATGCAATGGAAAAACACTGAAGTTATATTTCAATAAAACGATAAAATCATATATATGAATGATAAATAAATTTTGTTATAAATATTATCGAATGCACAATGTAACGGTAATTTTCTCATTTCGACCGTTCATGTTATGGTTATTACTTTTCCACAGCTAACCTAGTTCCCTCAAATTGGATCTTCTCTGCTTTACGTTGAAAGAGATGACATCATAGAAACCACTTTTCATGCTTACATTTCAACACGTCAACTTAGGTTCCGGACTGTTAATCCTGAAAAGTCGTAATAGTAAGTCAGTGTAAATGTTTTCGCCTGGAAATGTAATTGCTGAGCAAAGTATTGCCCTAAGTATTGCCGAGAAAATTATTTATTTCTTAGGGTGGAATCTCCACATATAACTTAAAAAGATTAAATTTTAACGTGTGGTGAGAAAAATTCCATAAAGAATGTCAGTTGAAAAGAAGGTCGTGATAACCGAAGTATTTTCTGGAGCCCGGGAAACGAATGTTTCGCATGATTATAAGAGCTGTATACGAGAAATTAACAAGTATATAAGAGCGGAGACAAACACCTCGACAAATTCAGTTGCTATGTAAGCTAATTATAATGACAAGCAAATTATTTTCTCAGAATACCCAATTAGTGAATGGTACGCATATTATATAAAGTTGCTTGTAGGTTGGTTACTTATCTGGCTTACAGAATGAAAGCATGGCCCTCTTCCGTAGTTTTTATTTTAACACGCGATAAAAACTAGGGGTTTTCACCTGAAAGTAAAAGAACTAAATATCAACTTCTTCGTGACCTGAAAAGAAAGATAAGAAATTCACACTGTTTCTTATTAATAAGGGATACATAAAAATAGGCAACAAGGATATGTTAGATTAGGTCAGGTTTTACTGCATATTAGATTAGATATATTAAGTGTTTATTAAAAGGCAAAACCAAATATAATACTCTGAATTTTAGGTCTTCGGGACTCTTCCTCTACGCTATGAACGTGGGTTTATTTCACACATCTGTTTTTCAACTACATATTTATGAAAAATTCTTTATTTTAAGCAAATAATATATTATGGCATCACAGAATTTATATGAGAAGTTCTTTAAATATATCATAGGACTTAACAACAGTTAATAAATCATTTGATAAGTACAGCCGATTAACTTAAATTAAATACTTTTTGTTTATATATATACTGAGCTCAAGCTGGCGAACTTTTTCAATTTCCAATTAGTTTCATATGATGAAAACTAAGAAAATTTGCTTTCGCCTGCTGCACCCGGTTACGCAGCTATAGTGCATTATAAAAAGCAGCCCTTGACTCCTTTTGACCGTGTTATATGGTTAAAGAACGCTCCCTAGTCGGTTTTTAACCTCCCTTTTGCTATTTTGAACTTTTTCTGCAATTCCATCCGTTTGCACGTGGTGGCATCATTGATAAAATGTCGCTGTCACATTTAGCAAATAAACACAGCTCTTATTAATGACAACCGCGTTTCTATTTTATTGTGTTTAGTGCTCAATCTTATTAAAAGAAAAGATAAAATTATACTTACAAATAAAATTCGTTAAACATTTGTGTAGTAGAGTAGTATTAGGTTCTCTAATAATGGAGACACTTTTGGAACAGCAAAGGCGATATCATGAGGAACGCGAACGCTTATTGAAGCTGATGGTAGATGAGTATGCTACAAAGAAGAATGGCGAGAAGGAACGCATTCACTCCGAGCAGAGATTGAAATACTTGCTTGATTTGCATTGTAACTCCACTACAAAGTTAAAGGAACTGTATGAAGATAAAGATAATGAGCGTAAAGCTGAAATTCAAGCGCTTTCGGGTCCAAATGAATTCAATGAATTTTACGCACGTTTGAAGCAAATAAAAGAGTTCTATAAAAAACATCCATCAGAGATAAGTGTACCGCTCTCAGTAGAATTCGAGGAGCTAACTAAGGCTTACAATAATGTGGAGGAAATGTCATCATTGGTGGAATTCACCGATGAAGAAGGCGGAGGACGCTATTTAGACTTAAATGAATGCTACGAACAATATCTTAATTTACGGGGGGTAGAGAAAGTGGATTACATATCTTACCTAATGACATTTGATCATGTATTTGATATACCCCGCGACCGCAAAAATCGCGAATATCGGAAATATATAGAAAATTTAAATGCTTATTTACACAACTTCGCAACACGCATACATCCATTATTAGATATAGAGGCTGAACTAGTTAAAGTTGAGCTGGAATTTCAACGCCAATGGTTGCAAGGCAGTTTTCCAGGTAAAACATGACATGCATATATACGATTTATTATTTAATATCAAACCATTTTTGACTCAGGTTGGGCTTCCAAAGAAACGGAATCAGCGTTAGCAAATACAGGTGCACATTTAGATTTATCAGCGTTTTCTAGTTGGGAAGAATTAGCTTCACTTGGCTTGGATCGTCTGAAGTCTGCCCTAATGGCGCTGGGCTTAAAATGTGGTGGCACACTTGAAGAGCGCGCACAACGTCTTTTTTCTACGAAGGGTAAAAAGACATTGGATCCCTCATTAATAGCAAAGAAACCGGCTAGTAAAAATGCTAATGTACAATCGCGTGACAACGAACGTCACAAGGAAATTGCCCAATTGGAGGCGTTATTGTACAAGTACGCCGATTTATTATCTGAACAAAGAGCAGCCACCAAAGAAAATGTGCAACGCAAACAAGCTCGTACTGGTGGAGAGCGAGACGACAGTGATGCTGAAGCAAGTGAAAGTGATAATGATGATTTAGACGATGCAGATGATGTACCGTATAATCCAAAAAATCTGCCTCTCGGTTGGGATGGAAAACCAATACCTTACTGGTTGTATAAGCTTCATGGATTAAATATTAGTTACAACTGCGAAATTTGTGGCAATTATACATATAAGGGCCCAAAGGCATTTCAACGCCATTTTGCTGAGTGGCGACATGCACATGGAATGCGTTGTCTTGGCATACCGAATACTGCTCATTTTGCCAATGTAACACAGATTGAGGACGCAATAACGCTATGGGAAAAACTTAAGTCACAAAAACAGAGTGAACGTTGGATAGCAGACCAAGAGGAAGAGTTTGAAGACTCATTAGGAAATGTTGTAAATCGCAAAACATACGAAGATTTAAAACGACAAGGGCTGCTCTAGAAACACTTATTATTTATTCATGTATAAATACTGTAGTCTTCATGCAATAAAGTATGACCTATAAGAATATAAAAAGAAATGGCTTGATTTTAAACAAAATGCTTACTTCTAAATTTAATTTATTAGTGCTCAGAGTAAATCTAAATTTAATCTTAATCCTATGGTATCCAATTGAGTAAGCGGTAGAAGTGAAATTTCACGTTTGCTCTCCTTCGGGTGTGTGTCGTCACAAATCCACGGAAAGTCCTAAGTAATGTATGTATTATAACGTCAGTTTTAAATTATTGGCGATCTTACTGACCTGATATTTAGACAAGTGGCTATAGCGCACAAAAGCTTCTTGAGTCGTATTCAGTACTACTTTGAACTGAGCTCCTTTCGGTAAGGCTTCTAAAGGCTTTAGCCGTTCAGCTAATTTATAGAGGCTACAGCGAAGCTGTTCCTCAAAATCAATAAGGAATTTATCATTATTTAACATTGAACCATCCTCAAATGAGTTTTCCAATTGCTTAATGTCAAATGAATAACATTCGTTCAGCGGTATTTCATCGTGATAGAATTTGAGTATAACACTTCGAAGCTCCCTTCGTTGTTGAAGTTCTCGTGCTGTACGTAGAATGTTATGAATATAGGAATTAAGCGGTGGAAAAACAGAAACGAAAACTGGAGCATTATAAATGCGTCTCTTTTTGAATATTTCAGGCGGGTACAAATCTCGTACATAAAGAATATGATTTAAAAACACTTCAAGCGCTTCGATTATGATGTCTGTTTGCTCTGTAAAAAACTCATAACTCAAGTAAATGATATTTATATACCTAAATATTTCATACAAACCTTCAATATTCATTATAAAGCTAATTTACGAATATGAATTTATTATTTACAATAAATTTCATCAATAATTTAATGGAAGCAACTTGACAGTTTTTCCCTAAATCAGCTGTTTTCCATTTGACACAATAATATTGTGCAATATATTGTACATAGAAAAAAACAGATAAAGGTTAATTCACATAAAACCTACATCGCCTTCATTGACAGCAGAAACTCAGACTACGAAGCGAAGCAGGCCGAGGATATGCCACAGTGAAAGAGTTACTTACCTTTCAATTAATTAACTGCTGTGCTAGTCGCTCTCTATTATACTCAACACTGGAAATTTTTACATGTTTTTACGAAATGCAGAACATGCGATACTCGGCATATCTTTCTCATCTCTCATTCGTTTCTAATATTTTCGCCACACTGCTCTCCCCCAAAGTCTGATCGGCTCTATCTGATACATACAATCGATATCCAAATGCTTCAAACCTTTCCAAGTGAATCACTTTCATCTTGCTTCCAGATTTCTAGATCACGATTTAGTCCAAACTTCAAATAACTAGACAACCAAAGCTTTCTAACAAGGAATATGCTTGCTGGTATTTTATACGTTGTTGCGCGCATTGCGGACCGATAACACATCAGAAACACAGGTTTGTGGATATGAAAACCATCCTAATCTTTGTCTACGACCTTCTAAAAGGGCTGATTGGTGATGCAGACCTGTTCGGTCGGTCTTTCTTACCTAGTACCTGGCATAACTCTTGGAATAACGCCGATTCGAAATTCCTTCTTTGGACAGAGTGCAGTTCTATAGGCGAATCGTATTTGAAAACCCAATTGTAGGTAAACACGTCCGCAACTGTTTTAGTATTGTGATTTGGAATTGGGTAGACCTCTGGCCATGTGCAAAAGTAGACCATAACCAAAAGAAGGTAATTGTTTCCTACTCAGCTCGTAGAGAGTGGGTCGGTTACATCCACGGCAACTCGTTCAAATGGAGTACCTGCTGACACTTTACTCTTTGCTTTGGTCGTCTGTTCAGCTCCAGTCCATGCATTAGAAGTTCCAAGTCCGAATTTACTTGCTGATATTTCTGTAGACAATTTGCTTTCCACTCAACTGTTGATGTTTTTGTTGTTGCAGTGTTTACATGCTAAGCTACATGGTCGACGCAACTCTATACATTTCTTTTTCACAAGTACTACAGACGATCTCCATGGACTTACCGATGGTTCGATAACATCACTCCCGCTCATTTCTTTTATTATCTGACTTACAGCTTTACATTTTGCTGACGGAACACTGCGAGAAGCTTAATGAATCGGTCTAGCATTCGGAAAATCAATTCAATGCTTCAATACTGATATTTGCCTTCCAAGTCAAGAGTTAGAAAGGACAGCGAAACGTCTTGGTAGGCTGATGATGAGAAGAAGGTTTAAAGGTCGTTATACCAAGGAAATACTCTGGTGATCGGCAACATATAGGGATTATGGAGCCAATACCTCTTCAGTCTGCTGAATGGCAGGGTAAGTTCAATACTGGGAAATGGTAAACGAGAATTCTCAATCGTTGATGATGGGAAAGTGACTACAGTTTATACTGATTCGATTCCGAATGGTTGACAAAGTTTTATGAACGGTATTTTCTTCATAGCAGAAATACACTCTGAAAGGTTGACATTCCCTGCCGAGGGACGACGTCAATAAGAAAAATTAACTCTTTTTTTATTTAAATAAATTTTCTATAATTTTTAGATGTTGGACGGACCAGAACTTGAATTTTGGTCTACGAATCCTGGGAAATTGACGCTGAGCAACGCCATAATTCTGTCAACACTCATTGTAAGGCATGTCCAATATCATTTTGCACGTTTTAGCTGAAATATTGTTGCTGTAAGTCAAAGTGTAGCCGAAGACCCGAACCTTTTTACGGCACATTATGACATATTTTGTATTTGGACTTACACCTACATCCATACAAAGTCCACCTCACATAACAATTGAAACTAGCTGACTTTTTACAACGTCGTACATATGTATGTACGTCGATTGGCTGCTTGAATAGCAAACAGTGGCCGCCAAGTTTTCGAATAAGATGCACATTTCTCGCTCGGGAATACTTAAATAAGTAAAAAAATTTTGGCATTTGTGACTTCGAGAGTCCTGTTAAGCATGTCGGACGATGTCCATGTCTACCATCTAGCGAAACTCCGAGATTCCTCAAATAATTGAAGGGAGGCCATTCCATCAAAAAATACTTAGGTTCGGGTGGGTTCTTTGGTTTGGATGTGGGATGGGACCTTACTTCTGAAATCGACACCGGTGAGACTGTCACTCGTCAATTCGGTGCGCTATGGACTGCAACTGCAGAACATGACTTGGACTATATGTGGTTTCTGGTTTCAACGAGATGATGCCACATGCTACACTACACGTGCGAATATGGTTTTAGTTCCAGGCGTAATATCTCTACATGCGAATATCAATTGGCCCCCGAGTTCGTGTGATATGAAACCATTGGACTTTCTTTTGGTGGAGCTACAAGAAAGAACGTGTTTATGCGTATACCGTTGAACTCTTGAGCACTTGAAAACCACCAATCGTCTAGTGATGGCTGACGCTGCGCCTAGTACGAGTTAAAAAGTGGTCGAAAATTAACTCAAAGGGCTCATAGTTCGCGGAAATGCGCGAGGCCTTCATTGGAAAGGCGCAGTGTCTCACATATAATACATATAAATGTTGAAACTCTATAATAAACAAGGAATTAAATAAAAAAAAAGTGTTTGAAATTAATTTTATTTACGTTTATTTTCGTAACCGCTAAACGGTTGACCCTGTATATGTGTGCATATTATATTTGTGTTATTAAATAAGTAAAAACTCATAATTAAAATTGATGTTGTTGGCAGCGTAAACTTTTTCCTTGTAAACATAATTTTTATGCGAATTGTTTTTAAACGACTTTGTTTATTTATTCAGTTAATGCATCTACGCAGGTACATACATAAATTAGCGTGATTTAAATTCGGAATTTTACTTTTACAACCAAAAAACAAGACAGAAAAAAAATAAAAATAAAAAAAAGTTAGAAGTACATTGGAACAGGTATGTAATAATAGCAAAGCATAATAACCAGATGAACCAGTGGAAATGGTTTGTTGCTGAAATTTACTCAAATAACGGTAAAAGCGAATATTAGAGTTCAGAGCGAGAGAGAAAAAACTAAATGATTATTTTTGCTAGTAAAATGTGTTACATTTTCAAATATACCTGGCAATTGGGGATGTAAAAAAAATTACTTATATTTTATATATCGTCATATTTTCTACTTGGATTTCTGAGAACACCCATAAGCAACTTTTTATATAAAAAAAATATAGAACTCAAACTCCCCACTTATCGCAGCTACAGAAATAATTCGGCACAACAGACGGAAAATTCAACCTCCACGACGAAACATCCCCAAGAGTTTTAGGGCTGATCGACTTCGCCGGTGACCGAAATATGGTTGTCTGTAGCACAAGATTCCAGCACGAGAAAATTAACCAAGCTACTTGGCTGTCTCCTGATCGAAAAATAAAAAAACCCGATCGATCAGGTCATATCTCCAGTGCTCTTGACGTGCGCATACTTCGAGGACCCAACCTCGACTCGGATCACTACTTTGTTGCAGCGTAGATAGGCACACGACTCTGAGTATCAAAAAAAAAAAATCCGTCAAGAAGCACTAAGAAGGTTCGACGGCGAAAAACTGCAGTCATAAGAGATTGTCAAGCGATTTTCAACTAGGCTTGCATACCAGCTTTCTGAGAGCACTCAGCAGCACCTTGATATAAGGAACTGTGGAACGGCATCTCAAACTTCCTACGTACCGCCGCTACGGAAACAATTGGTTTTCGGCAGTGCCAAGAAAAAAGCTGGTACCATGAGGAATGTCGAACTGCAGCGACCACATTACGTGCGGAGTGAGATAGATATCGAGAGCTGAAGAGGGAAGCAAGATGGGATTTCGAACAAAAAAAAAAAAAATAAAGAATGCGAACTGCATGATTATGCCGAGCTTGAGGGGTAATTATCGAAAGCTCTGTGAAAACCTGCGGCGCCTTAAAGAAGATTCCAAAACGGGATTATACTTATATACGCACCCACCCAAGATTAAAATCTAATAACCGATGGCCGGAGAATACTAACTTTATAGAGTGAACGCATCTCCAAATAGCTGAGCCCATTGTCTGCCTGAGGGGCAACAAAGCGCCGGACCCTGTTGGATTGCTATCGGGATAGATTGTGCATTGATCAGCTTTTTAGAAAAGAAACCGTAAGAATAGATCCATACACAACAGATTTTCATCGATTTAAAAGCGGCATTTGACTAAAATAAGAGAGCAGACCGGGTTATTCTCCAAGCCTATGCTAGAGAAAATAATACAAATCGCTGAATCGAAACAAATTCACTGATGGTAGTGAATGAGGATCAGACGAAATATCTCTTGTCATAAAACAAGCAATCTGCGGAGATACCTCTTAGTTTCCAAAGTCCATGTAGACACTTATAACTTCGAGGTCGTTGAAAGTAAAGCTTTTTCTCAATGTACAAAAAACTAAACTCTAAAATACGCGTATTATTCTCGTTCAGCAAAATGGGCAAGAAGCGTGCACGAGGTCGACAGCCGTTTAGTTGGCACTGCGTTAGGTTAGGTTGCAGTGGCTGAATCTTCGGGTTTCACATATACGAACAAGCTGAACTGATACACTCTTAAATGTGTCTTTAGTGTGAAGCACATTCGTGTTCTTTTTACAAACTGAACATTAGTCGCTATGATATGGTCATGGCCATGGTTTTTGGCAGCTTTAGAAAGAAAGGTTTTGTGGGAAATCTTTGATTCTTTGCGGATTGGCAAAGCCGATGTTGTTGTTGTAGCGGTTCGCTAACACCGCTTAGGCACAGGCTTAATCAGTCTAAGTCGCCGAGGTCATCTAATGGTAGGCCCAGGAAACGAGCTGTTTCGACGGGGTTGGACCAAAGGGAGAGGGGGGTTAGATGAGTAAGTTTGAGGGGGCTTGTGAAGAGGTGGTTAGTGTCGTGCGGGGACTCTCCACATGCCGGGCATACGTTAGGTAT